ACGCCCCACCCCCCGAGTGGCACCAGCACCGACACGCTCACGTCCAAAAAACAAAAGGGGGTAAAATTATCCTCGGCAGCAGCCAGGCTAGGATTGTGCGAGGGGCCGGAGCGTTTACACAAGGTGCCTCACCTCCAACCCCGGACACCCACCCCCCACTCATCGGAACCCCAAACAAACCAAGCGGATAAACTTGTTTCATTTTCCCTAATGTCATATGAAATGTCCTATTTTTGTGTCCGCACAATTACATTTGGTCTGTGTCCTCTCTCTCTCTCAGCGCGTGGTGGGCATGTGGAAGCGCTACTGGTTCGTGCTGGAGGGGCGCCTGCTGCTCTACTACAAGTCCCAGCAGGAGTACGCCCGCCTGTCGCCGTGCCGCGGCTCGCTCAACATGGGGCTGGCCTCGTGCGTGCGGCCCGGCGCCTACCAGCAGGACCAGCACGTCCTCGAGGTGCTGCTGCGCTCGCACGTCGTGTCCCTGGTGAGTCTCGCGCCCTCGCCCGCGCCCGCGCCAGCCCCCCGGGGCCGCGTCGTCGGTCGTCTCCATTAAGTTTAAGGATCGCCATCGCCAGGGGAAAGTGATGAGTAGTACTTCAGGGTACAATTACTATGATCCCCTCGAAAAAAAATTCTGAGCGGAGGAACGCGGAGAAAACCTGTATCTATGGAAGGCCTTACCTTACTTTAAGCTTATCCCTATTTTGGTTGAGGTGTTTCCAAACTTCTCTCGCCTGCCCACAGCGCGCCAAGGACCGCGCTAGTCAGGAGCAGTGGCTCAAAGCCCTCCTGGACTCCATGGCGTCGTCTACGGCCACGTCTCCGGGGAAGGACAGCGCCTCCCGCGCCAACGGCTCAGGGTCCAAGGCGCCGCTGCACTTCCGGTACCCTTCGGCGGACAACCTGAGCAAGGCGGAGGTGGGTAGTATACTCACAAACACTGGTTTTACGAGACTTTTTGACACGTGTTTTTTTTTTTTCACGGGCATCCGAACGCCAGTTTTTGATCTGGAAATGGAACCTGATTAAATATCCGTTACAACACAGTGTATTGACAATACTTTCTGAAGGAATTGAACTGTCAATATCTCAATTAAAAAGTTGTAGAGAGTGTAGTGGGCAAGTAGCTCACGTCGTGTACAATTGCAGACTGTGCCCCGTATCGCACGTACCGCACGCTCGCTGCCCGCGTGCGAGGGGGGAGGCTCGCACATCGCCATTCGTCATTGTCTGTTCCCCGAACTGCCCGCGGACTCGTATGTCCGTGAGCGGGTGGTCGCGACAGTTGCCTGGAACCTTCCGTGGTGCGAGACGGGGTGTCCTGCGGTAGAGTCTTATACTAACCTACCCAGAAGAGGACGCTATCCCGCGGCGCCGGTGCGCTGGGCGGTGGAGGGGAGGTGCGGGGTCCGCAGGGGCGAGGTAGGCCGTCCCGTCGAGCGCCGGTGCGCCGCGGGCCTGCCTACCTCCAAGGCGCCCCCAGCCCAGCGCACCGGCGCGCGGTATACAGCCTGCAACAAAACGTACACGATGCGGACTGCCCAGGGGCACCGTGTGTCCTATACGGCGCCTGGTTTTGACCTCTTGCATTATTTTGCCTGTCCCCAGAGTCCGCAGGAGCCGGATGCCGGGAGCGCCGGTCGAAAGGAAAAGCACCGTACACTTCCCAACTGGGCGAGCAGCCGGACGCCCTCCACCGAGTCGCAGCTGGTGTCGGTCCCCGAGAAGGCGCCCGTCTGCAAGGAGACCCCCGATGGGGTGCAAGAAGTGCCGGCCGGCGGGGTGCACGTGGCCCCGCGCAAGACGCTCGCCAGCAAGGTGGCCCACGGCCAGCTGGCGCGCCAGGGCTCCATCCTCCCCATCCTCGGCAGGAAGGACAAGGCGACGGCCCACAGCTCCCCGCAGGCGGTGCATCCCATGGGCGGAGGGGGGCAAAGCTCCACTCCGTTTGGGAATCAGCGCTACTCCTTTCACGGCCTTCAGAAGACGGACGCTCTCTCCCCAACCGAGGCCGGGGCGCAACGCATGTCCAGCGCCAAGAGTAAAGACGGGACAGACTCGGGCAAACACAAGGGCTACAAGAGCTTTGAGAATGTACTGAAAAAACAGCTCAGCTTCTCTAGTCCGACCAGTCATAAGGATGTGATACTTCAGAAGGATGCAAAAAACACACAAGTCCTGGAAGAAGTTTCAAAAGCACCCAATGGTATAAAAAACATTCATCTGTGCAAATTTTGCCAAGCGCCTATGAACTCTATAAATACAAATTGTAACTGTCAAAGCACCAGCACACCCATTCTAGAAGAAGAGAAGGAAAATATGCTCATGCAGAATGGAATATCTCAGAAATTTCATCCAGATGAAAATCAAAACAATCAGGTGTTGACAGGCTCATTTGAAAGGAAGAAAGGCAAGACAAGTCTAGGAAGAAAGTGTTCAGCTTCTGAAAAAGATCTTCTAATTGCTGGTGGTGTTGACTTGAGTTTTGGGAGTCCAGAAGGATTAGAATTTCCAAAGCCAACAAGATGCACTTCTGCAGATGAGTTGTGGTCTCCTCCTCACCGGAAAAACTACCAAGAGCCATGTATGAAATACAACAATTTTGAACATGTTGGTGCAGAGGGGCACTACTTTTCGGCCTCTGATGTAAATCATCCAACACACCCATTAGATCCCATTTTGTCTGAGCCAACTGGTTCTGACAAAAGTAGATTGGTCAAATTATCCATTCGTCAAAGACTTCTCCATGGTAATGGAGAGTATATTAAGTATTCTGAGCCTGAAGATTGTGATAAACGGGATTCTACATTGAATACTACATCAGATTCTCAGACAGCAGATTTGAAAATAAAACAGAAAATACCTAAGTTAAGAAAACGGAAAGGTTCAACAAGCAAAGATACTTACAATCTGGTTGAAAATGGTGAACACAAGAAGCGGGCATCTGTTCGCAATCGATTGAGCTTTTTGACACGAGTTTTATCACATGTCAGGCGCACCAAATCAGAGGACGTCATGGACCATCCAGAGACAGAAGGCTTCTTCACAGATGATGCTTTCCTCTCCCCACATCCTGATATGCATTCTATAAAGTGTACAACACCTGTGTCTCGAGTACTGGATGATGTCAAGAAAATGGTTTGTATTATCTTTATTCATAGCATCAGTTACAGTATACTTTTATGTGTAGTAGCGGTTAAAATTAAAATTTTGGTCGAGTATTCTTTTTATAAAAACTGTTTTGGGATTTTTAAAATTCAGTTTCATAAATTGTGTACTTTTGGTTTGGCAGAAAAGAAGCATGAATTGGTATTATCTGTTACCCGTAGTTCTTTTTCAGTTTTGATCTATTTGAAGTAGTTTTAAATCATGTGCATGGTATCATGGGGTTTTACAATGTAAAATATTTGGTGCATGTTCTGTCCCAGGAAACTGTTGCAAACCCTACTAGTGGAGCCAAGTTCCAGCTTGGTCCAACATCCCCAGGTTTTGGTGAGGCCCCTGAAGAACCACCCCCTGACTATGACTCTGGTAAATTAGTTAGACAATAGTTTGAGAAAACTTCATTATTTTCATACTCTTCACTATCATCATGTTTTGCTTTGCACTTGGTCTGTCAAATAAAATTCTTTCATCTACATTTTTATCCTCATGTATCTCATGTATTTGTGCTATTATGTTACAGTTGGCGTGGAGCCAATAATGGAAGTTGCTGGCTGCTCAACAACTGATGAACCACCTCAACTTCCCCCCAGGAGAATGAAAAGACCCCGTTCTCCATGGCATGATGTACCTACAAATAATTCTCCAGTTATAGATATGGATTCTGAAACCAGGCAAAGACTTTTATCAGCTGCGAAATATGGACGTGTTATTGGTACTCGAACAACTCACAGCATGGATTTTTATGAGTGGAGTGATTCACACCCAAGTGATCACTCACAGCATCATGCATATGAAGTAGTATCAGGTGATACATCACCAGCTGGTTCAAATGAACATTTAGCAATATATTTAAGCTCAGAATCAAGTGATGAAGAATTTCATGAGGAGGTTGTGCTTCGTAGAAATTTACAAGATAGAGAGTTTCTGTTTGGCACCAACAACCACCAACCGAATCCATTTGGAAATATTTCTAGCTCAACAGCAATGGAACCACTAACAATAAGCACTGATACCTTGCCTACTTTAGATAGTTCTGGCAGAGTTGGTCTTTCCCATGTAGAGGCAATGAAGCTCAATTTGTTAATGGAAGCCCAGAGAACATCCACGGCATCAGTAAAAAGACAAAGGGAGGAGCGTGAAAGGCAGGAGTGCATGAAAACATTTTTCACAGCAGATAATGTGCATCATGATGTTTCTCTCTACCAAGTCTCAAATGATTGCCTGCAGCTGCCTCCAGAAGAATTTGCAGATAAAGTGGAAAGTAAATTCAATGTGGTGAATGAAAAGACTGAGGAAGTAATGGCAGAAGTACAAGGACTACTTTTGCCAATAGAAAACCTAATCCATAGTTGCACCAACATTCCAGTTAATAGTACTTTTAGTGAAATAAATAAAGATGAGGACTTCAAAGAAATAAAATCTAATTTATCAACAAACAAAATTTTAGATGAACCTCCAAAATTACCAATTAAGAAATTAAACAGTGTTTTGAAATCTCACATCACTGAGTCAAAACCCAATGATGAGCTGAATGACTTACTTGCTCAACTGGCAGGTATGACAACTGCACCACTGCTTCCAGTTGGGACTACATGCAGTTTGCAGATAACAGCCCATGATTCAGACACTGAAGTAGTTGGTGATGTTTCTGTCCGAAAACAGGTAATTGTAGATGCTGATGGTACTTGTGGCCAAGAGGATAGTTAAACAAAGCATAAATGATAAATGTCTTTTAATTACAGAGTCTTTCATTGGAAGCTGTTACTACTGTATGTGATTCAGACCCTGACTATGATGTTCCACGACCTCATGCTTCTTTGCTCCACATTCTTCCACAAAATGGTAGATCTTTATCTCGAGCCGATGATGATGGTATTGTTGTTGAAGCTACTCATTTCTTCTCAAGACCAGAAACCCCAAGGTAAACACCAAATCCAGATGTCAAATCACATAAGTTTGACTCCACATTATCTTTTGTTTGGCATGTTACAGGCATGGAACAGCTGAAGACCAAAGTTGGAATGGACACATGTCACCTGATTCCCTCGATTTCCCTTTCTCATCAAGGAGGTCTATGAATTGGGATTCTTCTTCCTCTAGTACCAGTAAAATTCAGAACAAGCAGGACTCTCAAAAACAACGTTCAAAGAAAGATAGGAGTAGACGGGCAACATTAAATGGACCCATTACACAGAAACCATTAGAATCTACTCCACAATTTGATGAACCTCTAGTGAGACGAAATTCAATGGAGCTTCCTACAATGGGCTCGGAAACAATTGTACATAGGGCGATTCTAAACCAAAAAGAAAGAGGGATGAACGAGCCAAAGTCGATAAAGAAACTATCTGCATATGAAGGTACCATTTGTGAACACAGCTCCTCTCCCTATCAATCATTAAATTTAAATACTTCTGTAAGTGTAGGAAACCTAAGTAAAGCACTTGAAGCTTCGACCTCTTTGGAAGATATAAGTGAAAGATCAGAGTTGAACTCTGATTCAACCCCTTCACAGCCTCAAGATATCTTGACCCACAATTCCAGGTTGCTAACAAGACATGAGGATTTAGATATGGACTCATTAGAGGCATCAGAGCTTAGAAAACTAGAAGTTCCTGAGATGGGTCTTCCAGCATTGGTATCAATTGTGGAAGAACCAGATATTCTTTCTGATAAAAGTGATGGGCCTATGGGAGTAGAATATCAGTCTAGTGGCTCTGCATCCGAAGGAGCAATGATGGTAGGCAATTCTGACAGTTCAGCAGGTCAGTTAACCACTTACAATACAGACACTGATATGGAGATACCATCAGATGATGAAGTTTGTCAAAAAGAACAGATTTCTACTGAGATCCAAAGTATAGGAAAGATAATTGAACCTGACAGTCTTTTAGAACCATTTCCATCTGGAAAATTACTTGTTTGTGAAAATGTTACTGTTGAAATTGATACTACAAAAGATGAATCTTTAGAAACTGATTCCTTGGAA